ATGTAGGAAAGGGGGATGGATAATGAACACTGCATTGGGACTTTAAAAGGAAAATATGAGTAGGCATTATATAAGTGACATTATTTATAGTCCAGAATAAGAGGTATATTGCAAAGTGGACAGGAGGAGGGAAGAAATGGTGAAACAGTGAATGAATATAAAAAAAAAAAAAAACCACAACAAAGAACTGAACTGAGCAGGAAGGAAGAAAATGTGAAATAATCAATGAATGAAAATCCAACTTTTCCGTAAACTTAAGGTTAAAATCACACAATGAAAATATTAAAAAGAACACAAAACCCATAATGTTAGGAAAAAAAAATAAGAAGAGTGAATATATGATTAGGTATTATTTGTATGACTCTCCAGAATAAGAGGCGCGTTGCAAAGTGGACTCTGGGAAGGGTGGGGGAAGGAAATTGTGCAACAATGAATGAATATTTAAAAAGAAAATGAAGAATACAAACTGGAGGAAGGGGGAGGGAGGAAAATTTGAAACAATGAATGAGAATCCAAGTTTTCTGTAAACTTTTGTTCAAATCACAATTTAAAAAAATAAGGAAAAAACCTGCTGGTGAATCAGCTATGAGTTGATTCCAGCTTGAGTGACAACTAGAATGATGGGGCAGTAGGAACCTGGGGCGCTTGTGTTGTTAGCGGAAGGGCAGTGACTGGAGGGCTTAGTTAGAGGAAGGGCAGCGTCAAGTGACTAGGCAGCTCTTCTGTTCATTTTATTCCTATAATTAAAATTAGACTGAAAGATGAATTAACCATTGGACCTTTACGTTGAGAGTGATGCTTTCTGTTGTTCTCATTGTAAGAAACAAATCCGTACACTCCAAATCGATAGTATTAATCTCAATAGGTAATACCATGTGTATATTCGCTCATTCACTGCTTTCGATTTGGGACTGTGGTGCATTCTCAGAGATTGTAAATCTCACAGGATAGTGCCCATCTGTCTTCCTTGGAGCAGCTGGTGGATTTGAACCTTCTTTCTTCGGGTTGGCAGCACAAAACCTTCCCTACTCGGCCACCAGAACTCATCCAGTAAAGTGAACTGAAAATATACATTGAAAATGAAAGGGCTTGGATGTTTTTTCTTTAAGAGCATTAACCTTTCCTATTAAACAGTTGAGAACATCACAGAGCAGGGAAAAAGCAAATGATTGTACTTACGAATACAAAATAAGAGAGATTGATTCATTATAGTGAAGCGTCGCATCCCCTGTTAGCCATTTTATCTCAAGTGAATATAACAGTTACTACCAAACCTCAAGAATTACTGTTTTAGGAATTGGCTTTTCTTAATTTATAACTTACTGTGTAGGAATAATTAGGTATTACAGTTTGTGGATGGTTTTGAATGCTGCTGTGAGAGAAATACAAGCAAGTGTATCTTAAAGGAACACATTTATTTCCTAATAATTTAGGAGTCTGCGACTCGAATTCAGAACGCTGGTTCTAGAAGCCCTTCTGTCTTTGGGCTCCAGAGAAATGCCCATGCCTCTTTAATTTTTGTTTCTGGTTACCGGCAGAGTTGTTTTGGCATTTTTATAGTATCTCATTTTCTACTTTCTTGTTTCATCTCTTTTTAACTTCAAAAGAGGACTCATTTTACCCTCTACACACTGAACACTAATTCTGCCTTGTTTACAGAACAAAGACAGTCATTTCCCGGGTGAGATTATAGCCACAGGCATGGACGTTAGGATTTGCAACACATTTGTTGTTGTTGTTGTTGTTAGATGCTGTTGAGTCAAGTGTGACTCATAGTGACACTGTGCGACAGATCTGAACATCATTCTATTCTGTGCCATCCTCACACTTCCTGACACACGAGAGCCCATTGCGGAAATCACCGTGTCAATCCACCTGGTCAAGAGCCTTTCTCTCCTTCACCAGCCCTCTACCATTCCAAGAATCATGTCCCTTTGTAAGGAATAGCTTTTCTTAGCAACATGCCCGAAGTATGTGAGCTGAAGCCTCATCATCTTTGCCTCCAAAGAGCACTCTGGCTGCACCCTTTCCAAGACATACTTGTTTGTTCTTATGGCAGTTCATGGGATGTTGCGTGCGCTTCTCCAACACCACAGTAAAGGCATCAGTTCTTTTTTCATCCTTATTCTTTGTCCAGCTCTCAGATACATACCATGGCCTGAATCAGAAGCACCTTAGTCCTCAAACTGACATCATTACTCCTTAGTAACTTGGAGAGGTTCCTAACTGCAGACTTGCTTTCTCAGCTTGCTGAAAGTGAGGAGGCCTTGAAGCACTTTGTTGCAGAAGATGAAGGAATGCAGCCTTCACGGTGGCTTGCATTTCAGTATCAGAAAACAAAGATTCTTACAGTTGGACCAATAAGCATCATCCTGATGGGTGGAGAAAAGATTGAAACTGTCAGCAACTTCATCTTACTTGGATCCACAGTTAACACCCTGGACTAACACTAGCAGTCAGTATATCAGGAGACACTGCAGCACTGGGAAAGTCTAGCACATACAGGGAGGATATAATTCAAACTGTAACAGTGGGAAACTTATTTTGAGAATTCTGATTAAAATCTTTTAAGCTTTATATTAAAGATAAAGAATGTTTTGATACCTCATTCATTATTTATAAAATTTAAACTTTTTAGCCACATTTTATTCTCATTTAAACTGTAGTGATATCTTTGAAAACATACCCCAGCTAATTCTGGGATAGGAGCAGTGCTTTGTTTTTTAGAGTCTTAAGCTTGGGACCCCAGTGGTCTAGTGCTAAGAAGCTACGCTGCTAGTGTAAAGGCAGCTAGTTGGGATCCATTGACTGCCCCTCAGGTGGGCAGTCCTCTTACCGGCATTGCAGCCTCTGAGCGCTTTCTGGATGGTCAGTATGAGCGGTTCCAGCTCAGTGACGGCTGTAAAGTGTAAGCCTTGGAACACATGATTGTCACTGTCACATGTAGCTTTGCCTAAGCTCTCATGGTTATCTTTCTAACTTGGCACCCATATAGCCTATCCTCTGTTCATTTCATCCTGGAGACATAGTGGCAGGAGAAACGAGGGAATTCCACATTCCCTTCAACTTGAGTGCTCATCTCTGAAAGGATGGGGTTGGGATTCTTGTAAAAATGAGAACTCTGCTGTGAGGTGGTGCAGGTGCACACATGATGCAGTTATCAGCACTGGGCCATCCAGGCCAGGAGACGTGCAGTTCCCAGCACTGCGGCTTACAGGCCAGGAGACGTAAAATTATTAGTACTGCGGCATCCAGGCGAGGAGATGTGCAGTTCCCAGCGCTGCAACATCCAGGTGAGGAGACATGCAGTTCCCAGCACTGCGGCTTCCAGGCCAGGAGACGTAAAATTATTACTACTGTGGCATCCAGGCCAG